TCGTTCTGGAGGTCCGTTCTTAACCTGAAACTGTTCTTAACCTGAAGCACCACTTTAGCTAATGGGGCCTCCTGCTGCTGCTGTGCCGCCAGAGCACGATTTCAGTTCTTATCCTGAAGCAAAGTTCTTAACCTGAAGCACCACTTTAGCTAATGGGGCCTCTCACTGCCACTGTGCGCTTTCTGTTCTCATCCTGAAGGAAAGTTCTTGACCCGAGGGATTATTTCTGGGTCAGCGGAGTCTGTAACCTGAAGCGTATGTAACCTGAAGCGTATGTAACCCGAGGTACCACTGTATATGCCACAATCTTCCTACTAACGCCATCTCCTGAAACCAGATGACAAACTCTGTGGGCAAAGCGGCAGTTACAAAGGAGGAAAGCCAGACCCACTTATTTGACAGGGGACTGAACGGTTGTGAGGAAAGCATGGCGGGTGTTTTGGCAGGATGAGCGGCCGTTCCTCAGTTACAACATCGTTTTCCTCGCCTCCTGCTGCGACAATGTCCAAAAGCACACCCCTTCCGAGGGGAAACGTTCACCTTCCGTTTTCCTCAGGGCTTCCACCAGGAACTGGGCCTCTTCCTGGATCCGCTCCTCGATGGATCTCTTCCCCATCCCAAAGTTCCTCAGGGTGGTGAGGGAGAAGCGACGCAGCTGCCTCCACCGTTCCCCGTTGGTGGAAACCACGCCTGGAAATGGAGAAAAACGCCACAGAAAAGGCAGAAGACGGGGAGAAAAGATGAAGGCGCTACACGGAAAACAATGGCACACAGAACCTCCCTCTAGTTTAACAATCCTGGTCTCACAGGGGCAGCCATATGTCCGGGGGGACATTTTCTTCACTACAAGACGGAAGGGCCACACACACACAAATGGAAAGAGCAATGTTTTTTCTGGTTTCTCTGAGATGAAGAGGGATAGAATCACAGTATTGTAGAGGTGAAAGGGACCCCGGGGGTCCTCTAGTCCAACCCCCTGCATTGCAGCAGTTATAGAGGAAGCCCTGGCATGGAAGTAATCGCACAGAAAGATGGAGGGACAGGTGGCATGAGCAGCGGGGAAGCAGACTTGTGGTATAATTTCATTGCCTTGAATCAGCTCCAGGGCAGCAGGCCTCTGGACTGCAGGAACCAACCACCAGGTCTATGGCTCTCCTTCTTGGGACCTCCTAACCATCCCAACAAGAGTTTGGCTTTCAAGTGGCAACAAGAAAGAAATGGAAGATAGAGAGAGAGAAGGTGAGAATGAGGGCAGGGAGGAAGAGGCAGCTGTGAAGGGAGAGAGAAGAAGCAGCTTACCTACATTAAATAGGACGGCATAAAATTAGATTTGGTTCACATTTAATTCACACTCATGTATACTTTGCAAAACAATAGGAGAACTAAAACACAGCCACACTTGTCCAAATTTTGCAGTGCGGTTCTCCAGTCAATATTTATAAGAACAGTGGAAAGGAGACATTAAAATATATTTGTGAAAAATATAAACTACCGTATTTTTCCCTCTATAACACGCAGATTTTTTCTCCTAAAAAGGAAGGGGAAATGTCTGTGCGTGTTATGGAGCGAATGTGTGGTCCCTGGAGCCAAAAAATCAAGCAAAAGTCAAATCGCTCTTCACGGAGAAGGGAAACCTGAAAAGAGGAAGTGGCAGCTTTCCTGTATTCTGCCTCAGGGTCTTACTGCCCACCCGCCTCTGTTTCGTTGCTGTGATTGCTGAAACGGAACAAAGAGCAGGGAAAGCCCCTCCCCTCCAGGCAAGCAGAGGGGAAAGTGTCGTCTCTGTGCTCCGGTACTGCTGGGGGAGAGGGAGAGAGAGGGGGGGAGGGAGAGGGAGAGGGGGGGAGGGAGGGAGGGGGGGGGGAGAGAGAGAGAGAGAGAGAGAGATGGCTGGCTTGGGGGGGAACTTTTGCCTTTCTTTCCTCCCACCCCAAATCCCTCTCCAGCATTCTTAGCCAGCTGCTTCTCTGCACACCCCTCTCATGTCCCTTCTTTGTTTACAAAGCATAGATCAACATGGATCCTCAGGATCTTTGCATTGGGTCACCCCAAATTCACCATCAGATCACATAGCATGTCCATGGCTACAGCCTGCACCAAAAAAATCACGCACCCACTGTTGCCTGGGGCTGCAATGGTGCAAACACGTGGTTAAAAAGCATGGATCCACATGGATCCTCAGGATCTTTGCATTGGGTCACCCCAAATTCACCATCAGATCACATAGCATGTCCATGGCTACAGCCTGCACCAAAAAAAGCACGCACCCACTGTTGCCTGGGGCTGCAATGGTGCAAAAACGTGGTTACAAAGCATGGATCCACAGGGATTCTCAGGATCTTTGCATTGGGTCACCCCAAATTCACCATCAGATCACATAGCATGTCCATGGCTACAGCCTGCACCCAAAAAATCACGCACCCACTGTTGCCTGGGGATGCAATGGTGCAAAAAACGTGGTTACAAAGCATGGATCCACAGGAATTATCAGGATTTTTGCATTGGGTCACCCCAAATTCACCATCAGATCACATGTCTGTGGCCACAGCATGAAGCACAAAAATGATACATCCACTGTTTCATTCAGAATGTTTTTTCCCTTGTTTTCCTCCTCTAAAAACGATGTGCGTGTTATGGTCAGGTGCGTGTTATAGAGCGAAAAATACGGTATATTTGCATTGTATTGGGGGAATTTGCTTGCAAAGATAAAATGTGTACATTAGTCACAACGGCACACAAAAATGTGCTTACTAGGAGAAATTGGAACTAAAACACTAAAGAATTTTGGAAAAGTTTGTTGCTGTTTTTAAAGAAAAGTGGTGTGAAAATGTGGAGAAGTGGAAAAATGACAAGTCTAGAAAAGCCAAATTGGTTGACCGTGCCATTCCTAGGAGTGAAATGGGGAAAAGTGAGAATACTTGAAAGTGAGAAAATTGAGTCAAATTTCTCCCACATCCCTAGTAAAGGAAGATAGGAAAGCTGCCTTAGATTGATAGAGTTGGAAGGGATCCCCATGAACTTCTAGTCCAACCCCCTGCCATGCAGAAATGCCTTCTACTGAGTCAGACCACTTAGTCCATCTAGCTCAGATAATACTGATAACAGATGGAAGGATGAAGTGTGTGTGGCAGAAAGAAGGTGAAAGGAAGGAAGGAAGGAAGGAAGGAAGGAAGGAAGGAAGGAAGGAAGGAAAGGCCATGCAAACCTTTTCCTCTTCTTTCCCCCCACGCCTTGGCTCCAGCACCACTTACCACAGTCACGCACATCACTGAAAAGTTTCCTACAGTGGAATGCAATTTTCAGGCTAAAAGTAGTCCTGAGCTATATTAAATTATAGAATCACAGTGCTCCTTCTCCCTCTGGTGGCTTCAGATATAGGTTCATGTTTTGGTGTATCTTGTACATCAAGTGCACCACACCTCTTGTTTTCTCATTTATTATGGTGGTACTCTCCACTTGTATGTTATCTCATCGCTAATATCCAGATAAATTGCTTTATTGTTGCTTCTTGTGAATGTAGAATCCCAGGCTGGGCTTGGTTTGATTTACTTTTTATATGTTTGACTCATGAAGTCGTATTTTATTATTGGGTTTACATGGATAATGTTCAAAAATAAGAAGAAAAAGACA